CGACGGCGACGGCGGCGCCCAGGCCGGCGGCAGCAGCAGCAGGAGCAGCACGAGCCCCCGCATGGTGCGGCCGAGGTGCGCCGTGCTCGGCCCGCCCCGCCCTGGCACTGCCGAGGAGCCTCCTGCTCCTGCTCCTCGGGCTACTCCTCCGCGCCTCTCCCCTCCTCCAGCCTCCACCCTAACCCCTTCGCCCGCCTCCGTCTTTACCTTTTCCCCTCCTCTCTCCTCCCCTCCCACTTCCCTTCGCCGCCTGCTCTCGCCTCCGGTCCAGCCTGCCGGAGCGGAGCGGAGCGGGTCCCGCCCGGAGCTGGGCCGGTCTCCTACTAGCCCAGCTGGAGCGCTGCGAAGGGCATGTCTTTTGAGGAGAGGGACACACAGCTAGGGTGGCCATCACAGAAGACAGTCCGGGGTCTTCTGTCCTCTATTGAGACAAAACCCGCGCCTTTAAGTCCTCTGTTTTTCTCTTCGAGAGAAACCCTCGCTTACACTCGTCAAGAGAAAACCAGAGGACATAAAGGCGTCAGGTTTCCTCTCAGCAGAGGACAGAGCAGCTGAAAAGCAGACTGTCCTCTATGCTGGCCACCCCACACAGAGCGCTCCTGCCTCCTGGGCCAGGGGAGCCTTCTCAGCCCCGCTGCGCTCCAGAGGACAGTGCCAACCCGCGGCCGTCGGGGAAGCGCTGCGTTTCCTGAGCTGCCCAGAAGTCCAGACCTGTGGCACGGCGCCTCTTGTGCCGCTCCAGCTGCCCTGCCTCTCATGTTTGCTGGTGCGGCGCTGTCGTCCTCTCCAGGTGGTTGCTTCCCCCAATAGATGGCTTTGCTTGCTGCCTGCCTTCTGATGGGAAAGAAATGCTTTGTTACAAGTTTTCATGCCCTGGTGCTGCAGTATTGGGCACCTCGTGCTGCACAGAGCCAAGGGTTTGGCTGAGTGTCACTAGACAGAACTAGCAAAACTGGTGAAGATGAGCATGAGTGAAGAATCAATCGTGTACTAGAGGTATTGGAAGTAGACACCTATACAAGACACATATAGAGGCAGAGTGAATCGCACTACTTCACTGTACAGCTGGAAGTGGCCTCCTCACAGAAACAGGAATTAGGGCAGACAGTTGACCAAACAGTACAGGAAACATGCAAACCCACAAACCACAGCTGGCCTTGTTATGCAAAAACTGTTTAGCAACGTATAGAGGGCTGGATAAAGACAGATGATAATGATCCATGGTTAAATACTGGAATATGGGGGCAATAAAAGACTATTTTATACATAAAGAATTCAAAAGTTTTTTGTGGGGCAGTGAGGGCAAACATGACAGACAGCTTCCTTATCTGCACGTCCAGTTTAAACCTATGGACAGTTGCCTTTATTTTTAGAGCCTCCTACCTTTTGGTAGATCTGAGAATCATATCAATATTTCCTAAAAGCTGTTGGAGAAAGCAAGAGCTCAGAGGGAAGACTCCAATCTCAAAAGTACACTTACCACCCAAATCATAGGGGTGACAAGGAGCGTCCTTCATGGATCAGGGAGGACCCTGCAAGGTGCCATAGAAATGCATTAAAACAAATGGTACCCACCCTGACGAGCTTACAGTCTAAGCATATGATAACAGTCAAGAGGTAGGGAGAGCATCAAGTAGCATAGGTTACGTTTACTTTGCAGTCTGGTCATATATACGTACCTGACCTAGTTATCATAGGTACCAATAACTGTAGTCATGGAGCTTATCCTGGGCTAGGTGCATAAATATTTACCCTGGGTGCAGGTGAATTTTGCAGCCCGCACTGAACCATGTGCTGTCAGTGGCTAAACTATTATTGGTACCCAAAATAACCAGTTGAAAGCAAGCTTACCTTAAACAAGTCTACACAGGCTGCAGTCACCCTGCTCCAAACACCCGCTGAGACAGTTCAGGTCATCAAGAGAAGCAGAAGTCACGTCTCATAAAATGCCTGT